TCTCTAAGGGGTTCGCGCAGATTTTCTGATTCAAATCAAACAGGGCAAAATAATGCTTTTGCTTTAAAGAAATATTGAACTTGAAGCCTCAAGGCCTGCAGAGCAATTTCAGATTCATTTAGGCCCTAAGTGAAATAAAATTTATTTTTAGGGCCTTTAATGCCATTCTCTCTAAATTCTACATATCTTTCTTATCTCTGAAAATCACTCCATTATCCTATTTTAAAATTGAAAAGAAGAATTTTATTGGAAAATTTACTTTTAATTACTCATTTAATTTAAAAATAATACGTCAATCTGGTATATCTTCTATATCTTCATTTCTAATTTATATTAGAGTCAATAACAGTAAAAGATATTTTCCATTATTTTTTGTAGTGTGAAAATAATGATGTTTACAAAATTCCTATCATGAATATCTACTTTATTTCATATTAATAACAAATAAAATGCCGTCTTCAATTACTTAGTATCATAACTTTCTCTCTATAATCTACCATGGTGTTTGCTTTTTTTTTTTTTAATTTTTACATTCGAGCGATATTTTAAAATTATTCACATTTTAAAATTTGGCTGCCCTTATAATATCATTTAAATTTTAAAATTTTCATGCATTTTAGATTGTAAACTCCATAACTATCAAAATGAAGTTTAGGTTTTTTTTTTCCTACTGCTCATAGGTATTCTCATATTGGAAATATTTTTATTTGAAGCATGATTAAATACTAAATGTGGACACCTTTCCTAACAAGGATTCAAACAATGATTCACTATATTGTGAGAGATTGTTCCGTTTTGCCAAACCCAATCCCCGTTGATAATTAAAGTTTAGATTTTGATTTTAAATAACTATAGTAACTTCCTGTTTCCTATTTTGATTTTCAAATTTCAATTTAAAAAATCAATCAATTAATTAAAAAAAGTTCATGTTTCATATCTTCCACACCCTCGAAAGTCTCTCTGCTATCTCACTATCAATATTATCTCTCTATTAATTTTTTATTCACAATTTTATATTTTAATTTAAAAAATATTTAAAAAGTTATGAATAATTCCACCCAAAAATCTCTCCGTGTATTAATTATGAATACTGTAATGTAATTGTTTAATTTCTTATATTATCTTTAATTTTAATTTCTAATTTATAATAGTATAGGTCACATGTTGTATCCATGATCTAATGAGCATGTGCGCGCATAACGTTTTCCTTCTTTTCTAAGACAAGGTCAACCTTCTTCCTTTGTCAATGTGAAGGTTCCATACCTTTCTTCCTCAATGATTAGAGCTTCCAATTCTTTCATTCCAAGGCTCTTATGAAATATGCTTGTTATGACTGAAAATATTTTCATTATACTAATTAGTTGAGACAAAGAGCTAGAATTATTGTATGATTGAAGATCCCTATGTAATTAAAATAATAGTGATATTTGATTTATGACTTAATGAACAATTAATCAAAATGATTCATGCGTGGAAATGATGCGAGAATCTTTTGAATGTGGCACATGATATTTGAAGTTTTAAAAAGAGATAACATTTGATATTAAAGACCCATGCATCCTTGATTGAGATTTGAGAGACTGAATTAGAATATTGGTTGCTAACGATAATCATGTTAGCCCTTAGTGTATCATAATCAAACTTATAATCAAGCTAAGTTGGTATTCGACGCTCATGTTTTTTTACTCATGAGCATAGTGTATTCCTGTTTGTCATTCATGAATCTTGTATTTGTGCTTATTTCATGTCTGGTTCTAGTTGCACTTAGTTGGTTATTTATCTTCATGGACGATATGTCTATCTTGTTACTTATTTTGATAAAGTCCTACTAAAGAACTAGTCTTGAAATATATTGTCTTTAAATTGATCCTTTTAATAAACAAGCTCTTTATGGTGAATGGATTTTTTCCCCCCTTTACAATAAGCTATATAACTCCTAATTGCTTAAAGCAATAGTTTAAGCCGTGGAATTTGATTGCCATGTGGTCATTATACGAAACTATAGGTAAGAAACCTTAATTCATGGATGCCTACATAAGGAAGCATAATTCAGCCCTTTTGAATTCATCACATAAATTTTAAAAAGATAAACAATATAAAGATTATTGTAAGATAAAATGTTGCAACCCAATCCTCTTATTTCCTAAGTTGTCTCGTCATAAAATTTGTGTTTTTCTAATTTTGTATTTTAAATTACTCTTATTTTTAAGGACACATGTAATTTCCATTATTTTCAACTTTGAAATGAGAAGTTATATAATTTGATGTTATATACTAAAAATATACAAGGAAAATTTCCTGACTAAATATCACAAATTCAGACTAAAAGGAAACTGAGTAGCATCATAGATACAAGCAAACAAAAGCATTAAAAAAAGTTAACTAAAATATGAGATCCGTAGCATTATACAAGTAATAATATTTAAAGTATAAATAGAAAACTTTAATTTTAAGGAGATATATGTTATTTTCAATTTTGAAATGATTAGTTATATAATTTTATGTTATGTAAAATATACTTGTATATGTTCTTAAAATGAACAGAAAACGAGCTGCACAGTATTTTTTTCCCCACATTTTTTGATAGCAATATCATGAAAAGCATTATGTGTGTGATATGAATGTATATATCCCCTAAGTAATAATATTTTTTTAAAAAATGAAGATAAATATGATGAGAATGTGTATACTAGCCTCTTTTTTGATACTTTAGTACTGCTTGACCATGAAGAGAAAAGTAAATTAAAGGCAGAATATAGGAAAGAAGAATCTAGCAAGTGACCAAAATTGACTCACTCAATAAGTATTACAATAAATTATATCAATATTTAAAAATTATCAAGATAAATTTTTCTCCAAGAAATTCAAAACAATTCTCATAATTAAAACACTCCTTGATATGCTATCCTCTCCAAAAATTAAATATTTAATTTGGTTTTTTTTTAGGTATTGTATGACAAAATCTTTAATAGCCTTTTGATTAAATTAAATGGTTGTCATCATAACTTATTGAGTGAGTAGATTGATGCCACTAATTGGATCCAAATCTGAAAAGAAGATCATCCAATCAACTCATAATAAAGCTCAAGAGACCTTCACATTTAACAAGACTCGGAATACTAGATATATTAGATTTGCGACTTACAAAATTCAATCATGTATAACTGTTAATAATAACAAAACTAAAAGTCTGAACGGTTATTATGTGGACAGAAGAAGAAGAAGAAACCCAATGGGAATGTATATCCAGTGATTACGATATATGTCATTGAAGAAGCCTCCTTTTGGTGTTAAACAGAGAACCGCCTCACGCGAACTTTTATGTGCCCATTTGGATTTTACTTGAGTGTAATAAATTATAAAAATAATTAATTATGTGATAAATTTTAATCATAATTGATTATGTTATACGTAATTTGAATATTGTTTTTTTCAAATTGATTTTAATAGAATTAAAAATATTTGGATAATTTAATCAGAATCAATTTTAGTTATATAAATTACTATATTGCTTTTCAAAATTAAATTATTAATATATTTGTATCTAATATTGTTAAATTTGTTAAATTTTATTTAAGAAATAAAATATATTATTTAAATTAAATATCTAATTAATTCTTAAAATTTTGGTAACATCAAAAATATAACAATGTCACAAATGATGCAAAATCTCTCTCTCTAGACCTTTGCAACAATATTTTTCGTGACTGTAAATTTAAATTTGATTTTCCTCTATCAATTAATATTTTATTTAAATTAGTTTTATGGTAAGTGTTGAGTGGAAGGTGATAGTTGATAGGAACTTATGCTAACAACTTTTTTGAGGATACAAAGTTTGAAATTTATTAAAAAATAAAAGAGAAGAGAAGAGAGTTTGGTTTTATTTTTATTAAATTATGTGCTTTTTTTTGTAATTTTTTCTTGGGCCTTTCTTTATAATTTTTTCCAGCACTTTTTGATAAAATTTTCAACAAGGATTTGCAGCTTTTGGAAAAAATTAATTTTTCTCCCAAAAATGGATTAATCACCAAACTTGGTGTTTGGATAACTTTTCTTATTAATCAATTTTTCACCTCAAAAATCGATTAATGAAGCAATCCAAACAGGCACTATAGTGATCAGCGAGCAATTGGTGCAAAAGAAACCACAAGTATCAGAATTCAAAGAGATCATTATTGGCATCAAAATGGGAAAAAAGAAACATTATTTTTAACCAAGTCTTCAATATATTTATTTTTTTAATTTGATGATATGGAGTATATGCATTACAGCTACTCAGTCATTGTCCTTTTGTGTTTGCATGTGTGTGTTTGTTTTAACTTTCTAAAGTAGATTAAACAAAAGTATGATAAATTTTAAATAATGTTACTTTTAAAATTTTCAATAAAAATAATGAATTTACTATGATACATTTAAAAGACAGAATATGATCATCTAATTTTAAAAATATCAATTATTATATTAAAAAATTTTAATGTTATAAATTTGTGGATAATATATAAATTGTTTGGAATATAAATTATTCAGTATTTCATTAGAATGTGTAAACACAAGCTTAGTTAAAAATAAAAGAAAATATAACAAATGAATTTATTTTTTGTAATAATCAATTAAATACATTGCACGATTTACATATCAAGCAAACGATCTATGAATATGGAATAAATAAATATTTAAAAATTTGAATGAAAAGAAAGAAGTTATATTCAACAACAAAACTTTTTTGACAAACACAAATACTCCTCTGGATGTTAATGTGAGATGCCTCTTTGAACTTTCTCTAAATTTCAAATGAAACATTATCACAATTAAAAGTGGAAGCTACAAACGGGACATAATAAAAGCTTTAATAGAGCGTGAATTTCTATTAAAACAAAAAATTGTTGAGGCTTCAAACCCGAATTGAAAATTTGCAACAATTATAAGTAGAAAAAATACATTCAAAATGATGAGTAATGACAACGGAAAAATTTAAATACATATAATAAAAAAGAGCTAGGACTAAATTGTTGTTGTTGTTGTTGTATTATCATATTATAGTAGTTCTTCATTTCTATCAAGATTTATAAGCAATAGTCACCAGTCCTCCCTTCTTAGGCTTTCTTCGTATGTGACCATTTAGCCAGTTACCTTTATTGCGCCCAATTCATTAATCTTTGGGCTCCTACGCTACAATAAAATAAAATAAATGGAAGCTCAATAAATAGACAAGGAGAAGCTACAAGAAGAAGTATTACTCCCTCCAATCCTATTTGTAGGACACTTTATAGGATTACTTTTTGATCCAAAATATAGAATACCCTGTAATAATTAAATCACTTTTTTAATTTTACCATTTCTTGATTTTTAAATCAAGGATAAAAATGAGAGCATGTTTCATTTTTTTTATAATATAAAAAAAATTAACTTTTTTAATTTATATGAAATAGTTGAAAGTGTCCTATAATAAGGATCAGAGAGAGAGGGAGTAATATATAAAGAATCAAGAGTACAGAATAAACAAATGTTAACTTCTCCAATGACAAAGCTTCTCACTTCATTACCTTACTTATCTCGCGTTTGCATACATCAATAAGATCTTCATCTCCATCATGCTTCCTTTTCTGTAATCACATGAAGGGGAAAATTGTATAAAATGGAGTTTTCCACATTATTTTGAAACAGTATGAAAGAAATCTTCATATTTCCTTTTCAAATGCTGACATCAAATCAAAGTCATGCCCTAAATTGGATCTTAATTCACAAGCAACTGAGGGTTGACAGCATCAACAGAACTTTCTTAAAATTCATGAATAACCAAAAAAAGAAAACATAAGATATTCAATGAAGCAACTAATTCATTTAATCAAATTGCAAGATGACAATATTATGATCCAATACTTTAGAACACTAAATGAGAAAAAAGTAGCAGCAGAGAAAATTCCTCAACCTTTTCATGTTGTTTCTTGCCATGATCAGCACTGGAAACTTGATGCCCACTTTTATCTTTCTTTCTTTCTTTTTTCCCCCTTGTCTTGTTGATTCGGTCTTTATGACGATGCTTGTGCTTCTTATGCTCCTTGTCCTTCTCTTTGTCCCTGTTCTTATGCTTGTTAGGCCTTTTCTCCTTTTCTTCAGACTCACTTTTTGATTTTCCAGTAATGGTGGCAGATCCCTTCTCACCGTGTTAATAAGATGACACGATCAATAGTTTATCAGGTACACAGAACAATTATGCAATGGAAAAATGATGTTCAGAGCAAGAAGTTTCTCATTAGAGGCAAATCAATGGGACCTGTTTCCTTAAGTTGAAAGGTTTCCTATAGAATATCTAAGTCAAATGGCTGTATACGAGCAGTTGTATCTCTTGAGAAGGATGGAGTTTGAATAAGTTGATCCAACTGCATATTATCTCCTGTTCTAATTTCTGTCTCCCACGATGTTGCTGAAAAACTCATCGTGGGGTAGTAATTTGAAATGATTTATGAGATCCACAGCCCTGTCAATTCCCTTAGTCCTAACTCCTAATGGTTGAAAAACATTGTACGAACTCAATGAGAAAAAATCTAACCCAAGAAAAAGTTACAGGCGATTTCATGCACAAATTGTTGAAAGAGTTAGATCGGAAACATGGAAACTAAAAAATCACACCACAAAATTAGATATTTAAATCATAACAAAGGTTTTGCATATGACTCGAGTCAAGACAAGAGACAATGTCATACTGATCTTGTCATCTCAATCTAAACCACCAAATACTCTTCCACAGTTATATGAATCATTTTCTATACTCCATTTTATCCCCATGGTTATGAGACAAGCTTGACTTTGTACACTCCATTTTACTCGATGTTCTATACTCTGTTTTATACTTGTGAAAAAAAGTAGAGAAAGAAAGGACTTCATAAATATCTAAATAAACAACAAATTCTATAACATAGACACTAAATACACTAATCTAAAATTAATGGTAAGAGATACTAAACCCCCTCCTGAAAGATTCAAAACATCTATTGCCAGCAGAGAAAAGCCACTTATAGTGATATATAGGCATGGATCTGCGCTAGTCTAAAGCATATCCAAGTTTGACATAAGACATGTGTCAAACATCAATTGAAGAAGACAAAAATAAAAACCAAAAGTACAGAAAGCCATAAATCAAGCAATAATTGGAGATTAGATTTATAGTAACTTGATTTACCATCTTTCCAAGCCCTGAAAAATGCAGGGGGAAAAAAGCATTACAAAAACAATTGCAAAGTAGTAATCAGAAATCATAAGAGAGAGGGGGAAAAAAAACTCTCTATGAACCACAATCGAATCAAGAAAAACAGCTTAGCACAAGACAAAAAAAAAAAATCTGACAACCACAATTGTGAGAGGGGGAAAAAAAAGACTGTTTATCAACAACTAAATAGTGGTGCTATACCTTCAGTGCTTCAACTATTGCTAATCCATTTGAAGTTAGTAATGTTCGAGAATCTCTAATTGGTTGATCAAAGAGAAGATACAGCTTAGCATGAATTTTTTTAATATATAGATAAACAAATTTGTATAGTAGACAATTACCATAAACAGTAGAAAATTTGGCAAAAACCTTACTTGGATCTACATAGTTGATATTTTTAAAGATTCTGACCAGAGCAATGCAGTCAATATAATTAAGTTGCCTCAAGAAAACAAACCATAGAAATAGATTTCTCCTTATGTTTTCCTTGCAAAAGGCCCTTTAAAGATTCCAATGCATCCCTTAGCTTTTTCAAAAGAACACATCCCTCCAAAGATGGTATCTCTCTAAGCTTTGCCTGAAATCAATAAAAAAATTTAGTGATCCTTCATATTATCATCTGAATACAGAGAATTTATGAAAGTGTTGTCTCTGTGATTCAAACTTAGTATAAGTTTTGCTAAGAGACCACAGGTTAAGTTCTAGTGTGAAGAATATACTACGGAATCCACAGGATGAGGTTGCTTATTCTGTGGGTGATATCATACTAATGAGTGTAAAAACTTCTAAGGCTATTTGGCAAGATCATTCTGGCAAGAGGAGATGCATTTCGAGCAGAGACTGAATGCATCATGTGTTTGTTAAAGAAATAGGTTTCTGATAGTTGAAGCTCAATATACCTCCGTAACTAAGTGGAAGGATCACCTGGGGGATTTTCTATGGTAAGCCATCACAGTTTACTTCATTCCTCAATAAACAATGATTGCATCAAAGGATGGCATATATACGATATGAATTGTATATATGTTAATAGAGGAGATGAAAACTGATAGTTTGGCTTTACGCAAAACATTTTTTTTTTTTTTGGGAGATTTCCTATGTGAAGAATATAAAAATACAGCTACGTGGTGATTGTTGCATCACTTTCGAACATTGTAAAAATCATTTTGGGAGATTTCATATTGCTGCAGCTGGAAATTCGCAGTGAAAATTACAAGGCAGAAAGTGCATGACAGCACAGGAAAACTCTCAACAGGTGAGTCCTCAGTTTTAATGGGGAAGATAGTAACCCAACTTGGGGAAAAGGATGGTGGATCAGAATCTCAAGTATCTTTGTAGAGCCAAGGTGCTACATTAAAAGCCAACATTTAAAGATCAAAGAATGAGGAGCACGAGAGATTCAGACTCAATAATGAATAATGCAAACAAACAGCACGTGATTTTTTTTTTTTTTTTTTTGGTCTTTGCTTAGAAATAAGGATGAGGCTGTTTACCTTCAAAAACCAACATCTTTGTGCAGAAAATGAAATTGTTCCACCATTATTTTGCCTCCTCAGCTTCAATCTGAAACTATATATTAACAAAAGAATAATTTTCCACTACAATACATTGAAGCAATCTAGATAGAGAAGTTTATGATCATCGGAGAATGAATCATTAAATAAGAAATCCTGAGCAGTTCATAATCATCAGAGAATGAATCATACGCAAACCCATAAACTATGGAGGCGGATAAGCAAGTATAGGATTCAGGTCGTCGCTTTGATGGTCTCGGCGGTGCGCGACTTGGAGGGTCCCATAATAGAAACACTCACTCTTCCTGTGTCACTCTCCATTGTACCGGAACTCGAGTAGAATCATTGAAAAAAGGGCGATAAACATCACTTAACGGAGAAAATGTCCATGGAAAATTACAGGAGACGAGGGCCATGAATGGAGTGTTGGGTTATCCACTTTTGGTAGATCAGGCTTGGAGAATGAGGTTTTTATCGCAATTATAAAAAAATATTTAGATTCAATATACAATTTACTTAAAGGCTCAAATGTAATATTCTTCAATAGTCATGAACGGTCGAGAAGAAATTGCCGCATGTTCCCATAAAAGATGGTTATGAGTGCAGTTATCGATAGTTTTTTTGTTCTCTGCGTGAAAGGAAGAACTGAATGCTTTCATTTCCTTACAACTCATTCTCTCAGTGTGTGTATTTGATGTGTGTATTCGAATGAAGTTTGACTGGTGTAACTTTATTCTCGCATACGTATGTGCGAATTAATGACCTAAGGTATGTTTTCCTCCTCAGATTCTTTCATTGGTATTAGAGCTTTTGTGTTTCGTGGGTTTTCTATGTCTGAAGAATCTATAATTATTTGCTTAACTATATACATGCAAATCTATAAGTTCAGTTTTTTATTTTCTTACTATGTTTATGCATCGATTTGTCTCTATTTGTCTTTAAGATTATTACTACCAAAATGAACGTGTTAATATGTTTCTTGGTTAATATGAGTGTTCCATATATGGCTATACACGTTTTGCATGCAATCAACAATGATGAACATAACGACCAAAAACAAATCAAATAATGGGTGTTTGAAAAATAAGTTTTTTGAATAAAAAGATTACAAAAACGTGTAGAGCTTGAAAAAATGAAGAAAACGACACCAAGAATGTGTAAAACAGACACTGGACGAAGGAGATATGGCCTCCGAAAGTTTCCAAGTCCAACAGACCTAACTTGTCGGAGGAACCGGGTCAAGTTGACTTGGTTGGAGGAAGACGACAACAAAAACGACGCGTCATTTCTATCCTTGTCAAAACGATGTCGTTTTGACGTGTCATCCAAAAAAAATAGAAACAATGGCTTTTGGGCTACGAGCCCAGAAGCCCCAAACAAAAAAAAACAAAGAGAAAGGTCTTGGTCTTGGAAGCCCAACCCCAAAAAAATGAGTTTATGGGTCCACGGGTCAGGTACATAGACCTGACCCAGTTTTAAAAAATAAACATATATATTCAATTTTCTTTAAAAAATAAAAAAATAAAATATAAAGAAGGACACGTGGCACGTGGGAACCACCGGAAGACTCCATCGACACGTGGTTGACCCCAGCATGAAGATGTTGGCACATGGAGAACAACAGTCCAGCGCGTGTCCGTACTGGAGCAAGATAAGGTGGCATGTGTAAAACATCCGCCTTCCTCGAGAGTGGAATTTTTTTTCCTCAAAATTTCTTGATTTAGCATGTTCTTGAGGCACATGTAGGCACATGTGGGACCAGATTGAAACAAAATTTGTCTTAAAAAATCCATAAATTCTAGATGTTCATTTTGAAATTTAAGATCTTCATTTTGATATATAATTTGCATATTTTTTGAGTTTTTGAGTTATCTAGTGTTTTTTATGAGTTAAAAAAATTTCTAAATTTTTTTCTTTCTTATTTTTTTAGGAAAATATGAAGTAAAAGGCTTGTAGCAGCACTGATAAATCAAAAAATTATTTTGTCAGCATTGTGTATTTGGATGAACCAGATTATGAGCCTCTTAATGAGGATTCCGACCCGAAACCCTTCAAAAAGAAGGAGAAGGAATATGACTATCAATGTAAGGATTCTGATTCTGATCCTGAAGAAGATCCCAATGTTGATCTTGAAAATGTGCCGGAAGAACCTAAAGAAATGCACATGCTGTCAAGACCAAAACATGAATCAGAGGGTGATGAGAATGTTTAAAATGAAAATGAAGATGTCGAACAACCTTTTACACCTTCAGTGATCATAAATATAGCAAAAAGAATAAAAAAAATTGGATCAAATTTTTCCAGTAGTCAAAGCATATTCAAGCTTCATAACAAAAGAAAAACAACCCGTGATTGTAGGAAAAGTTTTCAAACAACTTAGGAAGGAGCTTGTGCAACATAACAAGCGAAACAAGTCGTACTCTGAAAATCCTCTATGGTATAGAGCCATTAAGGGGATGAAAGTATAAGAAAAATATAAAGATATAATTAAGAGTTGTCTTTTTAGGTCTATACCTTAAGCATAGTTCTGTTTTTCAAGAATTTATTTTTTATGCTGTATTAAGACCTTGATGATTTATGAAATATATGAAGCATGTTTTTTTATGGTTAATTACTTTATATATACTTTATTTGAGTGGGAGTTCTAAAGTGATAAATCATTTAAGAATCATATATAACAATTATGAAAATATTTGTAAAATTCTTTATAGACGATAGTGATTTTTGTTAGAATCAATGTGATGGAAGATACAAATGTAGTCTCCTGATCGTTGACCTAATAGAGTTATTATCACTCTAATAATGAATAATACAAATAGAAAACATTGTATGTTTCTCATAAGTATTTTTATTTTTGATTTAATATAGAAAACTATTAATGTGGGATAGTTTCGTCTCAGAACTAAGAATGGCAACAAAAAGCATTATCGCTGAATTGAATAAGGGCAACAAATTAAACGGAGATAACTAGGATATCTGGCACCGTAAGGTGTCATATATTTTGGAAGA